AAAGAGAAAAAAGAAGAAAGAGAAAGAGAAAAAGAAGTTATTTATTAATTCATTTAAAATCATTATTAGCCACCTTTCTTCCTTACGGAGCTCAAGGCTGCTTACAGACATAGCTAAAACACGTAGAATAAAATACATTAAAAACATAACACCAAAAATTTAAAATCCCTACACAAGATTGTTACTAAACTTAACTAAACGAGGGTGCAAGAACAATGCCACAAAACCTACACGTGATGGTTTAGAATGCCCTCACCTCACTTCCTCGACCGCACTGCAAAACCTGCTCTTCCTGGTGGGGATTAGCCACGTCACACACAAAAATGCTGCCCAGGGTCTTCTTGATGCTCTCCAAAACAAGATGGAGGAAGAAACATTTCCTTTTGTTGTCAGCTGAGCATAACTGGCAGCCACGTACCCCCCTTCCAAACGTGGTTTAAATTTGGTTTTCACTATCTTATGGTGCAAAAAAAAGTAGCAAAACGTAGAATAGGGAGGAAGGGAAAGCCGTTAGCTACACAAAATGCTCAGTTGTGATGAGTTTGACACACTCAGTGCTCTTTCTTAACTGTATGTTGGTCTCCCCTCAAAATCAGTCCAGAAACTCCAGCTGTTCCAGAATGCTGCAGCTCAACCATTAGTGGGAGCTAGATGGAGCATGCATATTACTTCGATTCTGCAAACCTTCTGCAAATGGTTGCCCATTTGTTACCGAGCTGAGTTTAAAGTATTGGCTACCGCATATAAAGCCCTTCATGGTACTGGTCCTTCTTATTTATAGGACTGTCTCTCTCCCTATGTTCCACCACAACAACTCTGCTCATATCAAGTATTGGCTACCGCATATAAAGCCCTTCACGGTACTGGTCCTTCTTATTTACGGGACCGTCTCTCTCCCTCTGTTCCACCACAACAACTCTGCTCATATCAGCAGGGCTTTCTGCAGGTGACAACCAGCAAATGGGCACAATCAACAACTGCCCGTACACGTGCTTTTTCCATTGCGGCGCTCACCATGTGGAATGGCCTTCCCAAAGCAGTCTTTCTGCAGGTGACAACCAGCAAATGGGCAGAATCAACAACTGCTCGTACACGTGCTTTTTCCATTGCGGCTCTCACCATGTGGAATGGCCTTCCCAAAGCCGTTAGGAAGTCTCCCACTCTCCTGCCTTCCGGAAACTATGCAAAACTGAACAATTTAAGAGAACTTTTTCTGTGCAGGTATTAAGACTGCACAGTACGAAATGGTTTCACAAACTTACTTGGATAAATTATTGGGTCTTTTGGTCGGTACTGCTGTATACAGCATATTGTAAGTAGGATCCTCTTATGTAATCTCTGTAGTGCTTCATGTGTCATATTAATACTTATGCTTAGAGACGGGCATGAACCAAACCATGAAGCAAAATTCGTCACAAATTTTGCCCTGTTCGTAGTTCATGGACATAAATTTGTGATGGGTCCTATTATGTAATTTCTGTAGTGCTTCATGTGTCATATTAATACTTATGCTTAGGGATGGGCATGAACCAAACCACGAAGCAAAATTCGTCACAAATTTTGCCCTGTTCGTGGTCCGCGAACATAAATTTGTGATGGGTCTGCAATCTTGTTCATTGTACTGACTCACTGTCTGTAAAACCACCTTGAGTCCATGTGAGAAAGGGCACACTGAAAATAACGGAAACAAATAATAAATAAATTTGGGGAAGTAATCTAAACTATTAGTGGTGGTGAAAATTGGTCCCAACCAAAGACTTTCTACAATATGGGAGATTTTAAAATATTCAGATTAACGTGCTATATGCCAGGGTCCCCAACCTTTTTGAGGCTGCAGGCACCTTTGGAATTTTTTGGAATTTTGACACAGCGTGGCGAGTGCAACCACAAAAATGGCTGGTGCTGGAGGTGGAGCCAGCCACAAAATGGCTGCCGCAGCTAACCTTCAGTCACACATCCCTGAGCTGTTATGGCAGCTGCTGCTGAAGCAACATTTTGAAAAATCAGCACAGCTGATCAGATCTCCAAGGGCCAATCAGAAGCCTTGCTGGACAAAAGCCCCACCCACTTAAAAACACACTCAGTGGGCACCAGAAAGGTGTCACTGGGCACTATGGTGTCCATGTCCACCCCACTGGGCACCCCAGCTGTATGCACCACAAAGAGGAAAGGCCAAGGAGACAGAATATCGGGAAGGAGGGAGGAAAGTTTTTTATAATCAAGCCAACTAGAGAATTATAATATAGACTGAGAGCAAGAATATCGGAATAGTTGAGCATTAATCCTTTTTGCTAACAGGTATTTTAGTCATGTCTGAATATTCTAGCATGATGCAAAACTGCATTTTTGATAGCACAATTTAAAAGTAAGAGAATAAATGAAACTGGCAACAGCAGCCATATTCGGGTTTCAGAGTTTGAACTGGATATCTGGGACTCGGCAGTTACTCATAAAAGCAATTCTGGGGGAGGAGGCAGGAAAAGGTAGGAGGAGCCTCCCTTTCCGCACATACATTGGGGCCAAGATGCATAATCATGGTCAATGCATAATCATTGAAGAGACAAGCTTCACACTAGACTGGGTGGTACAGACTGTTTGGACTGAGGGAAGCAAATATATATATATATTATGGCATTAATTAGTTTATCCGCAGCATAGTGTATGGTGCCTATCAACACCCTTTCTGTCAGAATTCCAAAGGTAAGCGCAGGCTCAGAAAGTTTGGGGGACCCCTGGTTTAGACTTCAACAAGCAAAACCAATTTGTGTGAGGGCAGGCTGTAGCTCAGAGGTGTCGAACTCATTTGTTATGTGGGCCGGATCTGAGATAAATATCACTTTGTTGGGCCGGGCCATATGTGCCATAAAATATAATGCTGGTACTGGAGATATAAACTGTATAAAGGACAGCAGCTAGTAAGCTCCGAGTTAGTGTACCCTCACTGCAAGGCTCCACGGGCCGGGAGTGGTGTGCAAAAGAAAACCCATATGGGCAGACTGGAGAGCCAGCGGCGCAGCACTGGGCAGACGCTCCCACGCTGCTTGACTGCAGCAGGTGAGAGGCTGTTCTGCCATGCTGAAGCCACAATTGGAGTTGCTCCACCCACTCTCCCTGAGTAGCCTCCTGTTCCCTCCCTTGCACTAGCTGCTTGCGGGCCACACAAGAGCCCTGGATGGGCTGCATCAGGCCCCCGGGCCTTGTGTTTGACACCCCTGCTGTAGCTATTCAGCACTGTAGGG